ATGTTATGTATTTTATTCTGACAAATTTGACATAAAAGACCTAGAATATATTATTTATTTTTTGTAATTGTACCTTAATATTTTTATGTATGAAATAATGAGATAAATCAATTGATGTAAAGAAAATACGTTGCTTTTTAAGTAAAATATGTAAATTACATAATTTATTTTCTAAATAATCTATATATATTTTCTTTACATTAGTTAATAGCTAATGCTCATGCTGACACTTATGAAATTAACGAGTTTCAAATATTCGACCTTAATCAGAAAAATGATTGTCAAAGCATAAGAGCAGGAAAAATATAACAATTTAATTTTTCAACCCTAATGATTACCCTGTAGGTCATTCTCTAAATTCTTCGGAGCAGAATCTCACTCTAAAGAATGAAAGATGAAGTAGTCTTCAAAAAAATGTGGCTCAATCTTTAAATAGTGAGATCTTGTTCTTCAGAGTAATATTTATTGTAAAAGTTTTAGAGAATATATTTGAAAAAGCAATGTTTAATTCATAAAATTTATTTTCGGTTATTGTGTATGATAAATGTAAAGCGAATAATTACTCCTTAAAAACTTTTGTTTCTCCTGTGTTTTCAGATGAAGCTGTAGCGTCTTCTTCAGGTTTCACTCTAATTATAATTATGTTCTTATTCGTATTATCGCTCATGTCCTTTGTTTGCCTTACAATGATTTTCCTATATTTATATGTGAAAAGATATGAAAATCATCTCTACTATTTTAAATAGAAGTTACATAAATTTTTCATAATATGATTCCTCTAATTATTCTGTATACAATAGTACTTAAAATATAAAAAAAATCAATTATTTACGAAATATTTTATATTTTGGTAAATTTACATAAAATATAAAACATCTAGAATAAACTATTCATTTTTTTTATAACGGTACCTTAATATTTTTACACAGGATAATAAAATGAATCAAATGAATCAAGAAAACACATTATTGCTTTTCAAAACAAAATGTGTAAATTGCATAATTTTTTAAAAATCAATCGTATGTTTTCTTTGCATCGATTGATGATTAATGTTTACAATTCATGTTAACATTTAATTGACAAGTTTCAAATACCCGACTCTAATCGGAAAAATGATCATCAAAATGCAGGAGAAAAAATATAACGATTTATTTTCAACACAATTCTATCTAATGATTACCCTGTAGATTATATATATGAGGGCTATCCAGAAAGTAAATTTCGTTTTTAAATTTCACCGCCGCAGCGGTGCGATGATGCGCATGGATGACGAATTTGTTGATTCGTTGGTAAACGGACGTAATTTTCAAATATTGGTTTAGTGCATACGCATAGTATGTGTTTTAATGTTTAAACAAACAGGAAAGAACACAATGCCCGGTGTCCCAGTATAAGTGCATCATCAACAACGGCGATAACTAGAGAAATAGTGTAAGATATGTACTTTAAAAAGTAATAAAAATTTTCCGTAAGTATACATATATATTTATTTTGTTTTAGGCCATCGGAACTTACTTTCTGGATAACCCTCGTATGTATTGAAAAAGGCAATGCTTACTTCATAAGACTCATTTATATGTATCGATATAATTGATAAATGCAAAATAAATAATTACTTGCTAAGAGAACATTCTGTTTCTTCTGTGTTTCCGTTCAAATTATTAGATGAAGCTGCTAAATCTCCTTGAGATTCTACTTTTTTTGTAGTCGTATCCTGCTTGTTTGTATCGCTGCTCATATCATCCGCAAACTTTGCAGCGATTTCCCTACATTTATGGAATGATTAAAGAAATGCGACGGGGAAATGTAAATTAGTTTTAATCATGCACACTATTCTGTTATAAGGCAAAAACTGCCGTTTTCGGACGAAAAACTATTTAGAGAGTTTAGGCGGATAGATTTTTAAAGCCACTTAAAAAAATTTCTTTCAAAATAAAAACACTCAGAATATTCATATTTTATATATGTCTTTGTATTGATTATCTAAAAAAAAAATTTATTGTCTTATGAATATAATAGAAAATATATTATTTATTAAATACAAAATTTTAGAAGAAAATCTTTCAGTTGTATCCCAAGATTTAATTTGCGCAAGTTATTAATTTGAAACAATCCAAAATTTAATTTCATGTTTAGAGATGTAAATTAGATATATTATGATTGTGAAGTTTGAAACAGATCAGAAATGAGACAAAAATTAATTATAAATAGAATATTGAAATCGTGAGTCGTACGATTTGTAATTTCTAAATTAATTACGCTAGTAAACTAATTAGTTTCGTGTGTAAAATTTAGTTGAAATAAAAGTTAAAATGAGACTTTATATTTTTACTTAACAGTGCTCTTGTATAACGAAATAATTTCAATAATTAAAATTTTGTTTCACATCGACAATTGTGCCTAATAAGGTGTTACTGTCATTACAATTTTAGATATCAAGTGTTTTTTCCGTGCAAGTATATGTGTACATATGTATACATATACAGGGTGTTACATTCTTTAAACGATCACCTCTCCAAAATTTTCTATATAATTTTATAACTTTTTCATATTTTTTATATGAATTGAACATTTCTCAGAAAATCTACATCTTTTTTCAGAATTTTTCATATATGTTAATTATAAAATATTGTAAGATTTCTAAAATTTTTTGTAAGTATAATTTCTGATGAAATATAAAATCTAAAAAATTAAAAAGTATTTTTTTTAAATTATGGGATAAGAAATTTCAGAATTCACTTGTACGAAAAATTCTGAAAGAAGATGTATATAAACTTTCCAAATATTTCTGAGATTTTTGAAAAATGTTCTAATTCGTATAAAAATTATGAGAAAAATTTTCACCAGGGAAGGCTTGAAAGTTATGGCCGGTATTAGCATTACTTACAAAAAAATTTAATAAATTTTAATCATCAAGTATTATACAAGATTTCATTACCCACATCTTGTACTAACACCTGCTAATGACTAAAATTTTATTAGGCTTTTTTAAATAAATTATAGTACAAAATGTCACTGGGCCGGAAACTTTTACACGCCACTGTATATGCTTTTTTATATCATATTTGCGAAAATCAATTTAATACTTATGTTGATAAGTGCATTGTTACATATACATTTTCCTTAACTTGATCGTTACTATCAATTTTACATTTTGCAGTATTTTATCCAATTTTGTAATATACTGTGTGAGAACTTACCTATGAACTTACCTATGAACGCGTTTTACTTGTTTAATTAAACACCTGGTTGTTGATACTATGTTATATGTTTTATTACAAATGTTGCATACAGCAGTCATATTATTTCCTGGTGTGAAGTAATCCCATATCCAACTGATTTTACGATCTTCCTTCTCCTTTTCTGTTAATTTGTCTGGATGGACCAACCTCAAGTGGCAAGGTAATTCAGGTACGTACTTATAACTAAATACTTCAGAACAATGATTGCATTTTGCTTTATTTGTGGTTAATTTTGTGTAATTTTTACGTATCCAACGTCGAACTGGAATCCGTTCGTCATCTTCTTCTTCCTCCTCTGTTATTATAAAATTGTATTACAAAATATTAATTATTAACTTATAAAAGGTACATATACATCTAATAAAATGATCGCGAATGCTGTTCACAGAAAGTCATAAATGAAAGTATTATTATTCGGAATAAATATAAATAATTGATATATTGTGTTTAAAATTATCTAATTAGCAAATAATTCAGCTATATTACTTATTAATCGACTACTTATATTAAATTTATATAGTACGCAATGGTTACATACAAAAATTAGAAAATGAAAGTCAACTATACATGTAGCAAAAATTAATATCATTTTATAATTACTAATTTAAATTTAAAAAAACATTGATTGTTACACTAACGTAAAATAATAAATTTTAATAAATTTATCTTTTTCTTTTCAGAACAAAACTATCAACGTTTGATTATATTTTAAATACAAGATTATGTAATAGATTATACATATTTATGTATATTTTTATATATTAAATATTGTTATACGTGAAAAAGTTTTTACCAGGTAAATAATTTAGTTTACTGCACTCCTTGTGTTTTTTCCCATTTGCCAAGCATTTGTTTGGGCCATGTTTTGTATTACATACACTGCAGTTGGATTTTTGTGTCGCCTTCTTGCCTCTGACTCTATTAGACTTCTGTGTTACCTTCTTCCTTAGACTATATTTTTTTAGTTTACTTTGTAGATTTTTTTCTCGAATCTCAGCAGCTCTGCAGTAATTAATTGCCTTTTGCAAATTAAGATCTTCCATTTTTAGAAATTTATCCTGTAGTGCTTTGTCTCTTATTCCAAACACAATCTTGTCTCGAACCATTCTGTTAGTCATTATACCAAATTCACACATTTGACTCAGCTTTTTTATATCTGTTAAAAAGTTTTCGAATATTTCATCTTCTTGTTGTATTCTGCTAAAAAACTTAAATGTTGCATGTACAACATTTTTCTTAGGATTGCAATGCTCTTCAAAACATTGCAACACTTTTGCCAAATTCTTCTTTTCCGTTTCTTCGAGATTAAATTTATTGTATAATTCAACACCATCTTTGCCGACAATATTTAATAATATAGCAATTTTAACCTCATCCGATTTTATAATATTGTTTGTCACTTTTAAAAATATGTCAAAACTTTGCCTAACCTTGTGCCAGTTCTCATTAAGATTTCCATTTGCACCTAATCCTTTTGGTAGCTTGCAGAGTAGTTTCATTTTACATTCGGTACTGTTTGTACTTTCCATGGCTAACCTCTCCCAATGTTATTAATGAACTAACATATACCTTTTCTTTCTTTTATTATTATAGTCTACTGCAATATGACTTTTAATACATACTTAACAACACTTCGAGACTGTAGTCCGTTATATTATGTATTATCGGAATACTTATCGGAATACAATTATTTGTACACATTGATACGCTAATAACAATATATAACATCCTTGAGAGAGTCATTTGTCTGCTCGTTAGTTTTGTTAGTTTTCGAGTGCGTTGGTACTGTTGGTTGTTGCATCCTGTTTAACGTACGAGCGTGATGAATCATTTTATCCTTGTTGTTCAGCAACTTTAAAGAAGGATAAAATGATGTATCATGCGCATTTATGCGTATCAAACAGCATACCCTTCATCCGATGAGAATACTCATCAGATGAGTATTCTGAGTGCATCCATGAACGTGTCCGCGCATGCGCTTTCAGTACATATTAGCGGAGTTCTTCTGATACTCGTAACCGCATTCCGTTATTCAAATTCACTACAAAAATCTGTAATACCTTAACAGGAAATGGAAAGTTATTTTTTAAAAGTAATAAGTTACAGTTACTCGTTACCGAGTAGAAAAAGTAACAAGTTACCGTTACTGGTTACCGATTTTTTAAAGTATAAACTCATTACAGTTACCATTACTTGAGAAAGTAACTTTTCGTTATTTTCCGTTACTTTTTTAAAATCGACCAATCACAACGAAAGGGCCTAGCGGCTTTTTAATCTCAAACGCTATGCACTATAAAAATTTTTGTATAAAATTACAACTATTAATAGTGGGTAATTTTGAGACCCACTATAATAATTATAAACGTTCACGCGTTTGTAAATTTGCAATATGCAAATAGAAATAATTTCTTGATTGGTAACTAGCAGATATTATTAAAATTTGGATAATTACAGAAAATATTCAAAATATCCTGCTATTTACGTAAGTTTACGTAATAAAATAAGATATATTTACACAATAAAAGCAAATTTACATATTTACAATTTTTGTGGAATTATATAATTTCCGTAAAATTGCATGATTTTTTTTATGTTTACAGAACTAATTATGTAATTTTTATATCTATATTATATGTGTAAATTTATGAAATTTTTTTCACTCACAGCGTAAATGGCTTGTGTCATATCATGTCCAATCGTATGCAAAGTAACAATAAAAGTAACTGTAAAATTCGTTACCATTATTGAAAAAATGTAACTTCGTTACCGTTACAGTTACCAAAGAAAAAAAGTAACACAGTAAAATTACCAAAAAAGTAACTTGTAACTGTAATTTTGTTACAAATAACAAGTTACTTCCATTCCCTTGAATACCTATACATAGGATTACTGTCTTACTGAAAAAAGGTCATAAAGTTACATAACGAAATCATGTATAATTAAGACAAGTAAATTAGGTAACGGATTGTTTCTAATCAGTACGTCATTTTTTTTAATCACATAATTTGAAAAGTCACATAATATAATGTGTTTTTTCTTCTATTTCTATCGTTTAATTCCTTAAAATTTGATAACTATAAGAAACTTGAATAAATTATTGACATGCACTTTTTTTTTACAAATATCAATATTAAATAATCGATAAAGATGCTTAAAACAAATTAAAATAGTTAAATTTTTATTTTTATTTACGTAAAATTGTTTTGACAGTTGTGTACGAAATAACAAAATAATTATAAATATATAAAATACCATGGAAAATATCAAAATTAAAAAATATAAGAATAAACCTGAGACTGACACAATGAAGAAATTTTCTTTGTTTTTAATCCTTTAAAGATTCGTAAATGTACGGTTTGAGAAATAGAGAGAGAGAGAGAGAGATAATTTTTTTTTAAATTAGGATATTGGAAGTCAGATTTGAAAGGAGATCTTTGACTATGCTACTATAAACGCTGCTATAAAAATGTTGATCTATCTTTAACTTTTATCTACAATCTTGATCATAGAACATATTATTTTCTTACATTATAGTACAGAATAGTGAAAATATGCTTATGACGTAAGAAACGTAATAAGCGTAATAACCAAGAATTACATGATCAATACACACATGTCGATATATATATTTGACCCAAAATATAAAAATTATTTTCAAAGGTTCTCGATATTTAAAATAATATTTATGTAGTATATTAACTAACTGAGAGCATAAGTTTTTGTTAGCGTGTATAATATATAATACTTTGTGTTACATATAATTCTTCTTGAATTCAAACATACGAATGTTTCAGCTTAATTCAAGCCATCTCCAGTGAATTACTAAATTAAGTAAAATTGATGACGAACTCGTGATAAACATTAGATAGAACTTGTATAAGATTGTAGATAAAACAACGTAAAAACGTTACTGAAGTTTTTGTTTCAAATCTGATTTCCAATAGACCAATTCCTAAACAAATTTATTAATGAAACATTCACGAATCTTTTAAAAGACTAAAAAATCTTTCTTTGTCAAATTGTGATTTATTCAGATTTACTCTGTACACATTTACATATTTACAGGCTAAAACATATTCATATTGGAGATGTTTAAAAATATTTCTGCAAAGGCTCTCCTAAAATTTCTTCTAAAGTTCGAACAGCATTCTGTGCACACTTCTCTGTAGCTTCGTCTTCGTCTTCCAACATCTCCGCCAGGAATGGTACGGTTTCTGGTAATAATGGCATAAAATCCTCGCCGAGTTTTCTCGCGATTTCCACCTAGATCGCAAGTAATAGCAAGTAATTATTAAAAGATAAACAAAGATAATTTAAATGAGAAATATAATAAAAAAAAACACAACAGTAGAACAGTTTAACTTCTGTGTAAATTATGATCATATGTAGATATAAACAGTATAAACAGTTTTTAATAAAAAAAATAATTACCTTACTAAATTTTATTTGAATATATTGAATTTTTTATTCGTTTATAATAACTTTTATATTATAAATATATAAATTAAACTTATTCACCCCATATATGATCTTACCAATGCATTCAAAGCTGTGCTTCTGACGTAAGGCTTTGCATGCCTCGTCTTCAGTAATGTTTGATAGACCAGTTGTTTGTGCAATGAATCATCGGAAATGGCGCTAGCGAAAGAAGCTATGCAAGGTACAATGAGCTGACTAGCTCGAATCTCATATTCTTCTCTCGTTCCCATTGTGTTTTCCACCTGATCTACTATCGGTTGCATGAGAATTTCATATCGGTCCTCAACGACGACGTTATGCACATCATAACTGAATACCCGATAAAGGGTCAACAGAATTGCCTCTACCAGCTCAATTCTGCTGGATTCATCGGGAAGCGTCAATTCCTGCGAAGAGTCTGTTACGAACATGTTGTTGCTGCTCAGTAACGATGCCGCATGCTTCAAAAAAAGTCCAGCGAACAAAACGAACAAGGACTTCAAGCATTCTGCTATATTTGCCGATAATCTAAACAGAGAAATTAAAAATCGCAAATTTTATAAAAATTGATGGATATAAGATGTACTATTTTTCGTTATTTTACCATGTTAAACAAATTAAAATAAATTTCCAAATTATCATGTTAAAGAAAAACGATATATATTTTAAAGCATTTCAAGCTACTTGTAATTGATCTATAAAATTAAATTCATATTTATTTTAATTATGTAAAAAACCAAGAATCTTAATTTTACTATTAATAAAAGATAATATATATATAAGCGATATAAGTATTGATTAATTTAAATGTTTAATATCACGCGATTAGCAGGAATTATACTTGCTTTGAAAAAGATCTACAACTGTAATTTAGTACGATTTAATTTTTATTGATTTTATATTGTTAATACCTGTAGAATGTTATACTCCGTTGTTTGTGCTGTGTATCATTCGCTGCCCATCCATAAAGTTTATCATAGAATGGTCTAAACGTTACTTCGCTCAATTTCAAAAGTAATGCTACCAATGCCTTACTAGCGCTTTCCTCAACCGCGACAATGTTTTTTAATGTAATTTGTTGGTCGTCTTGTGTTTCTATATCAGCTTCAATTCTTTCACGGAATTGAAGAACTTGGAGGAAGAAATTAGCGAGATTGTCGACTTCCACCTTCAGTTCTGTTGGAGGCACACTGTCAAAGGACTCTGCTAGCACGCTCATCAAAGATGGTATACATATATAAGATTTTTTGTCTAATAGCAATTGATAAGTTCCATTAACAGCTGGCAGCAGCACTCGCAGAGGTATGCAACTGGATAATTTCTGCGTTGTTACTTTCAAACGCGAAATGACGATACTAGCCTGTCAAAACATTAATGAAAAACAATTAAGCTTTAAAAAAACCAACGAAATTTCTGCAATAGATATCATAATCTTAGCAGGCAAAACATTAAACGAATACCTTAGGATGATCCGTGTTGGTATACTGAGAGCTGAGCATTGTCAATTCGTACAAGAGTTGATCCAAGTAGAGCGATAGGAAATTTCCCAAAGATTCCACTATCTTCTGCAATGCACTCACGATGCTGATGACTATAACATCCGGCACATTTTGATAGCAATGGGTTTTTAACAACTTCAAAATTGCAGGCACAAACTTATTCAGCGAGTACAGAGCATGGGTTCGCATTGAACTACATAATTCTGCTACACACAACGCTGCATTGGCTAATACTGGACCATTTTTGGATTCCAACAATTCCGTCGTTATATCCAAAATCTGTGAATAATCATTAGTATATATAATGTTATAAATAATAATTATATAATTATAGTATTATAATTACTATATTATAGTATAGCATTATAATAATTATACTAAATTTAATAATATTTTTTCTGAAGAAGATTATTAAATAATCAAACATTTTCTTAGAAATATTATGTAAAATATTAAATAAAAATTTATTATTCAAATATACGTACTGGTCTAAAAACAGCAGGACGGTCAATGGCCAGTAATTTCGTCAGCAGTTTCAAAGATATCAATACAGTCTGTTGTACGATCTCTTG